AACTACCTTCCATTGAACATAGCATTAAGACAGCACTGGGCACCTAAATATGCACATATGTTAGATTTTCTGTGCCTTGGAGGATGAGTCTTCCTTCTGGGGATAGAATAGAGAAAAAAATTGATGCATAAAATCACGGCAAACTGAGAAGGGTGGACAGCCACTAAGGCTTAATGGTTTCTGTAGAGAATTTTTGTGTTTAATGTCTACCTTGTCATTCATCTCCTTCCTGCTCCTGAAGGAGGACACACCCATGTAAGTCCTCCGAAGCTCAGAGCCATCAACCTGCTGCACTCTCTGCCCTACAGTGTCCAGTACACCGGAGGCTCTCAGAGCATGACCGCTCTACGTGAGACTACTGAACACAGTGTAATCACAGGAAACTGAGCCTCACTTCTTCTTCCAGGTCCTCAACAGTACTTATGCCCAGAGAATCACTTAGCTTACCACCCCGCACCCCGATTAGATTCCCTGGGAAACTCTGTAACTGTGACTATGTGAGCAGTACAAGGAATGAGTGTTCATTTCTCCCTCCTTCCTTGCTGGTGAACAGCCCTGCCATTCAGCGGAGTGGTGGGCTCACAACGGGCGATCGTGTTAGGGTCTGCCTGACCTGTGCTTGATGCAGAGAACGGGCCAGCCACTTCAGCAAAGTGAGATTTACTTTTTGAAATGCAGGATCTTTCAAGTTCTGACATTTTCTTTGTATCTAAAGAAATGCTTTCTTTCTTAGAAATTTACATTAGGACTTTAGTTTTCTGATCATGTATTACCCAGATTCTAATTTGGCAATTTTAAAATCCTGAAATCAAACAAACATAAATTAATGGACATGAAAATACCTAAAATGTACATTTAGAATGGAATATATTTGACCCACTTTTCTTTTCTTTCTTTCTCTGTCTTTTTAAGACAGGGTCTCACTATGTAGTTCAGGCTGGCCTTGAGCTCACTTTGTAGTCCAGGCTGGTCTCAAACTTGTAACAATCCTCCCTGGCCTCAAACTTATAACAATCCTCCTTCCTCAGCATCCCAAGTGCCTGGATTTCAGGAGTGAGTCACCACTCCCTGCTTGACCCACTTTTCTATCTCTGGAAATAGGGGATTTTAATGTTTTATTTTTCATTGATTGTTTCAAATGAATATTATGTATATCACATGTTTATTAAAAATCAAACAGAAAATAGATAAAAGAAATATATATCACAAAGTTAAGTTTTTAACATGTTGTGATCACTTCAGCTGTTCTTACCAACTTTCAAAGGTCTCATCTGAGTACAGATTATGAGGAATGACATTCATCTCCATTGTAGCACTAGGTTTCCTTTGGGAAAATGGGGTGAATTTGGCAAAATTAGTCTACTAATTACAGTAGACTATATTATAGTAGATCTAATATAAGAATGCTAGTACATAGCTGTTTCTTGATTTGTTTTCACTTATTTGCCATTCATCAAAGTGTATTAATTACCAGGGATATAAAAACTGGGAAAATCATTTACCTGGTCTAAAATAAAGGAGGATTGAAATAAAAGGGCTGCATTTCTGAACATATGCTTCACATTCTCAACTGTCTTATTAGCATTTGGCTTTCAAAAGATTATGCATTTCACTGTGTATTTTTCCTTTGCTTTTTATTTTAGGTAAAGGAAAGTTGGGAAAAGGAATTAGTATTGTGTAAATGAGTGAATCTGAATATTGTTTTCACTTTTTAAAAATTTTCCAGTTTTATGAGTTTAAAAAGTAAATGTAGACATCTTGTCAACCACAGAAACTCTTAATAGTACCATCAAATCAGCCAGGCATGTATGAAAATTTTAAAATATATTATTTAGGTGGTTTTCTGTGAAGATGATTTGATGTTTAATCAATAATTCTTGACATCACATCTGTTGTGTTAAGAAAGTGGCTGTTTCTTTCCCTGACTCTTGCTTAAATGGGGTTACAGTGGTCTGAGGTTTGCTCCACTTTGAGGTCCAGCATGGGAAACTGTGTTCAGGAATGGCACCATGCCATCCTTACTGCAATAGGGTAGGTTATAAACCAGAATACCTAAATGTTCACTTATTTAAAGTTCAAAATGTGACTACAAATTGAGCAAAGAACTATGCTAGTCAACATATTTTTTCTTTGTAGAAATGATCTGCTATAGAAAGGAATTATTACTTAAGAGTCAGTTAGAGGATTAAAGTAAGGAGAGCTAATCAGACACCTTGTTTAGTCATAATGTTGATTACTGATCACACAAAGCATCCTTGTGGACAGCAGACATTCAACCACCAGATGGTTTGCCTCCAGGTGTCGCCACCTCTTGTCCTCTGAAGGGTATTGTGTAAGCATTGCCAAATGCTGCCCCTCTCCCTGATGTCCACATGCCACATTGACTGGTTACCACCTTTTCCTGACCTTTCTCCTCACAGGCTTCTCATAAAGCTGCCTACATTTGGCTCACCTCGTTACTCAGGCTTTCCTCCTTGCATCAGTGGAACTGTATCAAAACACCTGGCGTCGACTTTTAGAGGTACCCAAGCTCTCCACTTACACAGTTCCTGGTATTTTTTGTTTTTGACTTTGAACTTGTTATTCTCATCAGTTACACATGTATTTCTCAAGTCTGTTTCTCAGAACGCATTCCTGTCTCATACACAAATTCTTTGAAATCACGTCTTGATATTTGCACTGCTATTGATGCCAGTTAAGCCAGGAATTGACCAAAAACTATCTCAGTGCTCATAATAATCACAGTAAAGTAGCTACACCTCAAGTTGTTTTGCATTTGTAATAGCAATGACGAATTCTGAACTATAACATGCTATATTGAAGAAAGTATGGTATAAGATTGAGGGTCCAAAAGTCAAATTCTTCAATTTAGCATATCTCCAATTCATAGACTAAGTATCTTATTACCCATTTGGTGATGCAGATATTGCAAAGTTACAGATACACTGAACAATGAATTTGTTGATATTTTTCTTCTATGACCTACATATAAATTGCAAGAAAATTATTTGTGCTGTGGTTATCCACCATTTGTGTTCAAAGCAGAAGTCACTGGTGTTTTGGATTCCAGGTTTAGTGTGTATATTACAAATATGAAGGATAGAATTAAGAGTTACTGAGTCAGGGGCTGGGGATGTAGCTCAGTGTAATAAGCGCCTGCCTGGCAAGCGCAAGGTTATGAGTTTGATGCCCAGTACCAGAAAAAAAAAGAGTTACTGAGTCTACTTCTTCCTTATTTTAATTCTAGGTATGTTTAGTCAAAGAAAAATCTAGAAAAGGAACTCTATTTAGGTAATGCATGGGAAATTGTGTCTGCAGGTGTTTTCACAAACATGGATGTATAGGGATGATGACACCCCAGTTCCAAAGCCCTGAGAGCTGATGGGAATGCACTTCCATGGGCATAGAAATGCACACAGATCCAGGTTTCTAACACTGCACAGCTCGATGAGAACAAGTGACTGTAATCTCTATGCGCCTTCACAGAAATTTTCTGTGTTAATAATTAATAATTTCTGTGAACCACCCAGATGGCCAGTTGCAAAATTTAAAAAGTTGATTTGCTGTCATTCTTAAGACAATACACATATTGGTTGTATAAGCACATATACACAAATGCATATATTTGCACAGAAGTAAATACTTAAAGAGGTATACAATATATGTCATCATATATACATATATTATCTGCACTGCTTTCTCCCTACTCCATAATTCAAAACTACCTACATTTTAGAAGTGTATTAAGACATCACAATGTACAATATACAGGCATGCTGTTATTTATCAATTAAAAACAGTATCAAAATATAAAGTTGATGTTTCATGATTTCCTTTGAGTAAGGTGATATAAGGCTCTCTTTATACTGTAGTTATCATTTAAATAATGATAGTTTCATCATGATGTCTAAGAAAACAATATTCTTTTCTTTACTGGAACTATTTTCAGTTTAAGTTTCATCAGTTATTATGTCTACTGTCCAATCGTATTGTGACAGATGTGCACTTATAAAGTTCTGAAATAATCTATACTCGTGGATATTTTATGCTTTTGAATTTGCAGGCTCCTAATTACATCACACTGTCAATGGTTGTAGGTAACTAATTGCTGATTGCCTGTTTCTCATCTAAAAATTGGATAACAAATCAAAAGTTTAGTTCATGAACATGAAAGAGTAAATAAAACTTAAAATATACAGTAAATAATAAGAAAGAGAAAGAAATTGCTCAAAGGAAGGGACAACTGGGATGAGGGAAAGAAGAAAAAGAAAGTATATTCCAGTATCCTTGATGAACATA